TGGGAATGTCAAATGAGATTACAAGTGTAAAGATCTTTGGGAAAACATTCTGTGTTCCTATTACCTATTTGGCAAGTTGTAACCTCAGAAGTTGTCTGGCTATTCACCTTAAACTTACACAATGTTATATGTCAATAAAGCTGGGGGAAAAGAAAGTTACATAATGACACCCCCCCCCCCCCCCCCATAAAAAAAAGTAAGTGTGCTCAGTGTATGGACCAAATGAATGGCTAGGCTTTCACAGGCATGGTTAACAGGAGAAATAACAAATCATTCATAAAAGAGAGTGCTTTGTTTAAATGTTTATGCTTTTGCTTTCACAGTTTCCTATCAGATTATGAAAACCAGGATGTATGATTTGGAGGCAGGTTTAAAGAAATTGGGACAATCAAAATATAACATTTTTCTTTCCAACTTTAAGCTTTCAAATATGTCTTAATATACTCATGACTTTCATTGCTCTGGTTCACCTTCCACCTTCTTTTTTTTTTTATTGATTTTTTTACAGAGAGGAAGGGAGAGAGATAGAGTCAGAACCATCGATGAGCTGCCTCCTGCACACCCCCCACTGGGGATGTGCCCGCAACCAAGGCACATGCCCTTGACCAGAATCGAACCCGGGACCCCCCAGTCCGCAGGCCGACGCTCTATCCACTGAGCCAAACCGGTTAGGGCCCACCTTCTTTTATTTTTGATACTTTGGATATGGAAAGCCTCCACCCTCATTCACAGCAGGTCTGTACATGGTATGTATTTGCCACATCAACAATTGAAAGATGGCAGCTGACATATGACTTTAAGAGCACATGTACTCAGCCTGGCCGGCAGGTGTGGCTCAGTTGATTGAGCATTGTCCCTTGCACCAGGAGGTCGCTGGTTCGATTCCAGGTCAGGGCACATGCCTGGGTTGAGTTGTGGGCTAGAACCCCAGTAGGGGGCATGCAGAAAACAGCTGTCTCATCATTGTTTCTATCTCTCTCTCCTTCTCCCTTCCTCTCTCTGAAATCAATAAAAACATATTTTAAAATAAGTACATGTGCTCTACCAGGCAGCAGGTTTGGTTGGTGTTGGTATTGAGTTTTGAGCAACTTGGATATTATCTCTGATCATAGTGCTAAACCTCAGCATTTTATACATTGTTATTAATAATTTTGAAGTCTAGAAGATAGCAAAATTTGGCTCTAAAAATAGTAGACTTCAGGCAAGTAATAATTATAATAAAAACTGAAATGCCAGTCTCCCTCTTATATACTTAAGGCTGTTAATGTTCATGGTCATAGAATGTATTATTATATTACAGGTGTGGGATGAGCATTTAAAATAACTTTTGGTAGAAAAAATTCTAGTGTATACTTTATAGCACTGCTTCTCAACATAGTGCTTTATTAAAATCACCTGATATATTCAACAAAAATGCAGATTCTTGGGACCCACCCCCATAGAGTCTGGTTTGGTAGGTCTTGGGTGAGATGAGAATTCACATATTCAGTAAGCCCCCAAAGGTGACTCATATTTGCACTACAGTTTGAGGGCCATTGTTTTATATTTGGCTGCACTTTTCACTTTAGCAATTAAACAATGAAAATAGTTCAAATAATGTTGACTGGAACTTTATTTTTGAGTGCTATATATATATATTTTTCCTCCATCACCATCTCCCCCCCCCCCCCCCCTACCTTCTTCCATCTCCACCCCTTTTCCCATCTAATTGGAACTTCTAACATGCAACTGCTCCCCCACCCCAAAGCTTCCTCATTAATTGGTGCATTTCCTGTCATAAGTAGCATTCAAGTAAGATAGGCTGGCTGCTTTGCATGGATTTGAAGAACAGTTCTACTTTTAGTGGGAGCTTGATAGGATGGTCTCTAGAATACATCCAAATGTTCTGTTGGATTAAGAATGTATTAGTTTGCACGTGACATCTTGGTCTGCTTTCTGCATCATTTATTAGATAGGCTTCTATACCCTGCTAACGAGGACTCAGCTCTTCCTGATTATTTTCTGTGTCTGTATCTGTGTCTTTCTTCTTTTTACGACTCTTTGTCTCTGAAACTCTCTCTCTCTTGGTCTGTGTCTTGTTAAATGTTTTATTATTTTTATGGAAAGCCTGAAGCAATCTTGAGAGAGAGAGAGAGAGAGAGAGAGAGAGAGAGAGAGAGAGCCATTTCAGGGAAAGGTCTTGGCGAAGACAGATTTCCATGACAATGAGAAGACACTTGTGCTATCATAGGTGTAGTGTTTCTCCCCAGCCTCACTCCCACTTTGGATGAAACAACTGAATAATTGTGATCTGTCTCCAAACATAAGAAAACCAATGTGCAATTGCACAATCCCATGGGCACTCAATCCATCCAGAGGGCTGTCTGACATCTGCCAGGATTGGTGCAGAGAGGGAATTAGAGGCAAGATTATTTGGTTGGTTTGGCTCCTTATCAGGAGGAAGGCTGGAGTTCAGCCTAGGTACTTATCCCAACTGATCACGCCCTGAAATGTGCTGAGTCCTGCCTCCCTCTTCCTGTTAACTCTTTCCTGACCTACTGTGGTCAGAGACCTCACTCACCTATGCCTTAAGGAAGGTTCTGTTCTTCCTTTTCATTAAGGATGATGTCCTCTGTGTACCTTCTTTATGAATTTAAGGGACTACATTTTTTGTAGACTGAGTTTAGAGAAGGTACATGAGCTCATGATTGATCTCTTGTCTATGAACTGGGGAAATGAGAATTGCAATCAAATATTAGAAAGCAGGAAAAAACCATCTTTATCTCACTTGAATTTTCATTACCACCTATGGGTGGCATTTAAGTCTCCTGAGCCCAGGTAAGAGGTGATATGTACCTAAGGTAGGTAGGTCTACTCAGAGGTCATCATGGTTCCTGTTTGTTTCCACGTATTTGCTTGTTAATATAGAAGAAAAATAATTTTTTCCCTAGGCTGTGCACTCCCTGTAGTTACTTGTAATGCGTGTTTATTTGCAGAACATAGTGTACCGCGGAGGCCAAATCAAAGTCCATTATAACTGAATATGTTACATAGTCCTACCTGTATTTCTTGATCATTTTGCACATCTTTAGTAACAGAACATTGGAACTGTTGGAACCACAGCAGCTGTTAAGACCACTTAGGGAGAGATGACATCTTTCCTAACAGCCTGGCTCTAAAAATACTACCTTGAAAATAAGCATGATAAAATGGCTCCTTTTTTTCTTTTTTTTTTTTTTCCTCATTCAAGGAAACAATTTGAAATAAATGTCTAAGTTTACATATGGTTGAGGGATTTTTAAGTGACACAAAAAGAAACCCAGTAAGTGAAGGTATAAGTTACAAGAATTAAGAAACCCTTCGTGTTCAATCCTAATTGTGCATTTTTTTCTTATTACATTTATTCATTCAGTTCATTCAACAGGAATATTTATTAGTTTTGCTATGGTTGCGGTAACAAATTAACATTAACTTGTTGACTTAACCCAAATGTATGACCTTATAGTTCTGGAGTCGAAGTCTAAGATAAAGGTGTCAGCAGGTGGTCTGCATTCCTTCTGAAGGTTCTGAGGGGAGAATTTATTTCCTTGCTCTTTTCAGTTTCCAGAGGCTCCTTCCTCGTGTCACTCCAGCTGTTTGCTTCTGTCATCACCTCTCCTACTTCTTGCCTGTGATGACACAGGGCCCACCTGAATAACCCAGGGTAATTTCCTTCTGTTAAAAACTCAGCAGAATAGCAACTCAATACCATCTGCAACCTTAATTCCCCATTGCCATGTAAAGTAACATATGTACAGGTTCTGGGGATTAGGACATGGACATCTTTGGGGGTGGGGTATTGTTTAGCCTACCGTAAGTACCTACCATGTGCCAGTTGATTCTGTTTTACTCTGATCACTGACAGCTGGCGATCTATGTTCTCTCCATTGTTCTATTTGAGTGACATAACCAAATTGCTCATATCAAATATCTCCAGACGCACAACAGATATACCATCTGTTCATGCACGTCAGCTAACAAAAGGTACCCAGTACCTGATGCCATCACCAACTTCAGGAGAAGTTGTTCTATTTGAGGCAGTGGCTGTGGGTCAGTATCAAGCTCTCTGTGATGTATCCACAGTGGCCTCTCAATATTGAATGATGCCCTTTTACTTTCTTATTGTAATTCTCTCTCCTATTACAGGTTAAGTAACACTGACTTAATATAAAAGTTGACCTTTGTTGGCCTCATAAGGATGGGGAATAGGGAAATTTGTGGAATTTATTACCTCAACTGGGACACCTTGTCAAGCCAAAGGAGGCACAACTAATAATTATGCAGGAACAATAGGTATAAAACAATAGGACTGTCCTGGGAACACCAGGCCATGGGTCTCCCTATACACTGGGTCCAAATGAAGAATAACAGCCATAAATACTGTGATGATGATAATGTATTGAATACCCCCTAGGTGCAAGCACTGCAGTATTATTGTTATTATTATTAATCATCCCTACTTTAGAGTTGAGGAAAATAAAGCTCAGAAATGTGAATACCCATAGCTTAAGCTAGTGATTGCTGCGTTAGGATTTAAATCAGTTTTGTAAAACGCTACAACAAATGCTTTTTCCATTATGTTGCCTTCCAGAAAAAGTGTAGCTTCTTAGAAATTATTGAATTGTAGTTGTCAGCTGGGCATGGTTGGGCATTTTAAGAATGATGTCGCCCAGCTGGTGTGGCTCAGTGGTTGAGCTTCAACCTGTGAACCAGGAGGTCACCATTCGATTCTCGGTCAGGGCACATGCCTGGGTTGTGGGCTCGATCCCCAGTGTGGGGCATGCAGGATGCAGCCGATCAATGATTCTCTCTCATCATTGACGTTTCTAATCTCTCTCTCTCCTCCTTTCCTCTCTGAAATTGATGAAATAAAAATGAAAATAAAACAATGACGTGACCTGGGAGAGCTATACAATGTCTTTGTTGGAGGTCTGTGAAAACCAGGAGCCATGATAGATGCTTTTTCTTGGTCTTGCCTTCAGGTCTGTCAGTTTGTCGTCTCTGTCAATGGGCTCAACGTGCTGCATGTGGACTACCGGACTGTGAGCAATCTGATTCTGACGGGCCCACGGACCATCGTCATGGAAGTCATGGAGGAGTTAGAGTGCTGAGCGGGTGGCCTTCCTGGCACTTCGAGTGGCTGTGGATGAGCAAAGCCAAAACAACACAACGCAATGCAGTGACAAGACTTCCATGCACATGGATGGCTCTGGACATACAAACCTTTTCTTCGTATAGACACATCTTGATTTGAGTTTCATACACTGTTTTGAATGTGGAAGAACCGGGTAATACATCTTAAAAACAGCAACTTATGTCAGTGTAGAAAATATTTGGGACAGAATTTTCTTAATGGGTAGAATTGCTTTACTTGATTTCTGTTTGTAGTTCTCATCCACTGTTTCTTATTTTAATTTGCAGAAAGTTGTTGAAATGTTTCTCTAGCCAAAACAGCAACTCGCTAAAATCTCCTTCGTAGGAGTCAATAGAGGAGTTTTTACAGACTTTAAACTGTATTCTCACCGAAATGAACATGGAACTGTTTATTAGAGAACCTAGATTTCACTGAGCTCCAAATTAAAGCAACAGTTAAAGGAATAGTACCTGTTAATTAGCATTTTGAAGGAGAATCTAAAGCTTTCAAGAGCTTACAGCCATCAAAAACTGGCTTTTTTCCCCTGAATTCCTGCCTTTAGTGTCAACTTTAACTCAACATATGTTTTCAACTACAGCATTAGTTAAAAAGCAAAAATTCTGTGATGATATGGGTGCCGTAGATAGGGAGATACTACTTAAACTTGTTTGCTTCATTTTCTCTGTCTGAGCCAAAATCATTTGTTCTATCAGCTATAACAGCTTTCTGGAATTAATGCTGAATGTGTTGAATGTCAAAACAGAGACGTTTGTATATACACATATACTTCAGAATCAAGCCTCTGACAAGATTTCACTTTGAGGGTGTCCCTTTTTTAAGTGAAGTGTTCTAGAACTTGGCCCATATGTGGCAAAACTTGAAACTAAATTGCCTTACTGGCCTGAATCTTTACTAGCTTCCTAGTATAACATGACTAAGGACATGACATGCTACTTATTTGGCGGGAATATTTTTCACCAAAAGCAAGTCTTGTGTTGTAACTTTTCAGCTCGCTTGTATATATGCATGTTTGTTGGGGTTTTTTTTGGTGTAGAAAAGAATGTATTTTGGGGCTCGGTGTATAGAGGAAATTCCTCCAAGTGCCAAATTAAGGAGCCAGGGAATGCTGAATTCTTCTTCATTTCATATAATGCATTATGAGCAATGAGGTTACTTTCTTATTCTGTATTAACAAAATAAAATATGAATGATGTACCTCAGCCATTATTTTGTGATAGGGTATCATAATGTATTGATACTGGTAGAATCAACATACCATGTTAAAGATGCTACATGTATATGTTTCTGGCAGTCCAACTTTCCTGATCTGTAGTTTTAGAGAATAGGATTTAGAAGTAAGATAGAATGGCTAACATTAATGCTGCTGATCTACATTTGGGAACTATTGTCATCTCCATGCATACGATCATATGTGCGTTTATACTGTATGCCAATCTCTGTGCTATCGCTCTTAACAAATATGATCTCTTTTCATCCTCATCACAACACTTCCAGATAGATATTAATCATCCTCACTTTGTGGTTGTGAAAACTAAGTATGAGTAAGTTTAAAAATGGTCTCTAAGTTCACCCAGCTGCAAAAACTGCTAAGTGATAGTAGCCTGGATTCAAACACAGGTTTATTTAATGTTACCACCCCCAGCATTTATCCCTGTAGGGACCTTCTGTTGAAGGCTTACTCTGTACCAGGTGCAGTACTAAAATTATACATTGCTAACTCTTATTGACCTGTGAGTCAATGTCATTATCTCCATTTTACAACTGAGGAAACTGACTCATAAAGAGGTGCGTCTTATCCCAAGGCCACACCACTAGTAAGTAGGAGGCCTTACCATTCGGCTTTAAAAAATGTTTATAACATTGTTAAAAGATGAGTCTTAAATACTTTCTGTCCCCAGGTATTCATTAATTGACAGGAGAAGGACTGCCTTTTGGGAACTGGCATCTTTTTCTTGCCTGCTACTTGTACATGTCCTAATGCCCCTCGTGTTGGCCCAGGCACAGTATCACTTCCCTTTGGCCAATCTAAGTACCAGAGAAGGGAGTGTCTGGCTTTGATTTGGAGTGTCAGTGATGTCTTTGGACATATGAATACCAATGTGAAGGAAGGAAGGAAGGAAGGAAGGAAGGAAGGAAGGAAGGAAGGAAGGAAGGGAGGGAGGGAAGTAGGGAGGCAGGGAACTGTTTTCTCCTTTGGCTCTCATCACTCTCAGTTTAAAGGCCAAATGCTAGAGAAGTCTATTTAAGGCCAAGATGGCTTCACCTTAGCCTCCCTCCAGTCCACCTGTGACATCCTCATGCTGTAATTAAAGCAAATGCTCCCACTCTAGGGAGCCTTCTAGCTCCCTCCAGCCTTTGCACCTGCAGTTTCTCTTCCCTGGAATATCCTTCTTTGCCTGGAAAAACCCTCTCTCATTGACTCCCATTAGCTCTTGTCTCCTCTGAGAAACCTTTGCCAGCTCCCTAGTTCTGGGATTAACGCCCCTTCTCTAAATTCCCATGGACCCTCGCGCATCAAACTTCTGTAATTCCAGCATTTACTTTGAAATTGTCCCATTACATGTCTGCCTCGCTAACTACACTCTAAGCTTCTGCAGAAAAGGGACTGTGTCTTGTTACCCAGGTATTCCCTTCACCTAGCCCAGTCCTGACACAGAGTAGTGTGTCCATTGCTATCCATGTTATCCAACGAACCACCCCAAACATGCCTTATAGCACTATTTACTAGTATGTGTTCATGATCTATGGGTTAGCATTTTAGGCAGAGCTCTGCTGGCATGGCCCAGCCACTGCTCCATGTGGTGCCGGTTGGGTTTACACAAACATCTGTAGTCGGTGAAGAGTTGATGGGGGGCTGGCTGATCTTGGAAGATCATGCATATGTCTCGCAGTTGGCTGGGGTGCCTCAGTTCCGCTCCATGTGTCCTTTCCCCACATGAGATCAAAGCGGGTGAGAATGGAAACTGCCTGACCTTTAGTGGACTTGATCGGAAGTCACACAGCATAGCATTTGGTTGTTCAAAGCAAGTCACAAAGCTAGCCCAGAATCAAGAGGTAGGGAAATAACCTCTACCTTTTGATGGGAGGAGCTGCAAAGAATTGGTGGCCATTTTTCTCCACCAAGAGTAGGTACTTATTCATTATTTTTTGAATAAAAGACCAAGAAGTTGCCTAGTTATTGAAAGACTTCAGCTATCCAGATGCAACTTACTGACCAACCACTGGGTAGAAGTATAATATTAAGTTGTAAATGAAGCCCAGTGCCTAATGAAAACTTCAAAGTTAGAAAATGCTGAAATGATAGTGCTACATGGAGCCATGGAGAGCACAGTTTAGTCTTCCTGTCCCATTGATGAGGAAGTAGGTGTGGCATCGTCAGGTGGCATGTCCAAAATCACGAGGCTTGTTGGATACAGCGCCTGGGCCAAATACTGGTCTCCTGCCCCCCCCCCCCAATCCTATGTCCTTTCTAGTCTAGTGTTCTGCAGTGTAGGCTTTTAGCTTTGAGGTACTTATAAAATACAAATGGTGCCATGTATCTGTGAAGGTGAGGGGTCTACATTTTAATTGACTCATGTTGTTAAATCGTATCATTAAAAAAATAAGTATTTTGTGTGGTGTGTTGACAGAACTGCTTTAACATTTAGAAACTCCATCCTTAAATGTAACACCAAGAATTATTCTCAATTAACAGTGAGCAGTATTTCTAAGAACTTTTATTTTAGCGTGTGTGTGTGTGTGTGTGTGTGTGTGTGTGTGTAGCAGTGTATTGCGTGTGAGGTTTTACTCACTGAGAATCCCTGAAATGGCTTTCTTCGTTCCCAGAGAAAACACTGTTGATATGTTTGTTAATTCTGTTGTAGAGAGAAAAATGCGGTTGCCTTTTGGACTGATTCTATTGTTTGATGCTTTATTATTAACTTCTGTTAAATAATTATATAAATTGATCAGGGGACTAGTTGAGAAATGATGGGTAACATGAAGAAGATACCCATGTCTGAGTAGATTAGATGTGATCAACTTCACAACATCTTAAAGGAGAATGTGTTGGAGTGGTAGCAATGAATAATTTAAAAATCATTGCTTTCAGTTCAAAGTGAAATCCCACATTTTCAGATACTCCTTCCTTTCAAATATGCTGTGAAAATAATCTACTTTCAAGGCCTATTTTAAACTGGTGATGTTAACTGTTCTCTCCTGTTGAATATTAATCCCATTTCATTTTGTTCATAAATGATCAGAATAACTCTTCAGTTTTGCTGATCGGTTAGAGTCTATTGATATCATTGACCATAGTTTTACTCATTAAGGCAGAATTTAAGGAATAATATGTTTTTCCTCAGTTCAATAGCAACAGGACAAATCTGCAGTGTACCAAAATGAAGATCATCATCAAAGTTAGCTTATGATATTGTCAAATGCATTAATATATGTACTTAATATATATGCTTATTTTTAAATTAGACTGAAATTTATGTTCTCCCTTTATTAAAAATTATAGTATAACACTTAAAATTATAAAGTGAAAATAGATAGTATAGCATGAAATAAATGTTAATTTTTAAAAACAGTGACTTTAAGGTTTCACTTTTCCTGTCTTTTAGAACAAACTAGCTATTTTTTATTCTAAGAAAGGGTTGCATTATAAAGCTGACATACTACTAACCTATCAGGAAAGAACACATGGGACTCATCTCCAATTCTCTAATGTAGCCAAAAGTGCCATTCGTAAAACGACTTAATGGTGGATATTGTCTGAAGCTCTTTTGCTTTAGGGGGAAAAAAAAGTGCATTAAAAAGCTTTTTCTGTACTGTATTTGAGTTGAAATCATTTTGTCCCTACACATCCTAGTATTGATGAGTGTTGTGAAATAGTCTATAAGGGAAATGCTATATGATTTTTTGCTACTCTGAGAGAATGTCAGTCTTTTTACTTTCAGTGAATTAGAAAATCAGTCACATAATTCATTATGTATAGGGGCAGGATAAAGTGTGGGGGAGTGTTTTCTTGGACTACATGTAATATTAACCAAAAGAACTTCACATCTTTCTCATATTTATTCACTTATTTGTTCATTCGAGAAACCTCACTGAGGATTTGTGTTTTGCTGGACACTGCACACAGACCCTGGGAATACAAAACTGAGTGGACATGACCCTGGGTCCAGCTTATCTTGTAAGAATCACCTTTGGGTCTACCTCTGCGCAGAGGGAGGAATATGAAATAATGATGTTGAAGCAGGTGGTTTAATGTCAGACACAGAACACAGAACACTGACAACTTACATTTAACTGTATTCTCCTTTCCAATCTTCCCCCACTTTCCCTTACTCAAAGTAGCCACAGTGGTGAATGTTGAGTTTGCTATTCTCTTCTTCCTTTCGTTCTTAATACTTGTTTAGGGCTTTTTAAATAAACATTCTTAAAAGAGCATCAATTTTTAGATAATGTCCTGGGACTTGCTTGTTTTAATTCAGGATTCTATTACTAAGATTCTTCTAGGTTTTTGTGTATAGTTGTAATTAATTCATTTTTCAAGGCTTCAAAAACTTATAGAACACACATTACTTGTCTTTTTTGTCTTGTAATTAGACATTTGAGTTATTTCCATTGTTGTTGTTGACATAAATGGGGTTACTATGAACAATCTGCACCATCTCCTGGGAACAAGTGGAGGAATTTCTCATAGGAATCCACTTAGGAGAGAAACTGCTGAGTCATGGGAAGTGCGAATGCTAACTTTACAAGGTCACAACGGACTAGTTTCCAAAGTGGTTGAACCTGCTCTCATCCAAAATATAAAAGTGATATATGTTGATCAGTATCTTTTCCAACACATTCTGAGATGTCTTAATTTTTGTCAAATAAATGCCTATTTGGTCAATAACACTGAGTCCTAATTTGCTGCAAAGCTCATAAAACTTAAAGCACAAAAAATGTAAGAAGTAATTTTTGACCCAAACTTACTTTCTGAAACTCTGTTCTACAACAACTTTGTGATTGAGGAAAGGATTCTTGGAAGTCAGTATAACATATTCAAGAGCATCCAAAAATAATTTATTAAGCACCTACTATGGGCCTGTCACAGAGTCTTTGGCAAATAGCAGGAAATAAGACAGGTCTCTGACCTAATAAGTTATATAAATAAAACTAGGGGTGAGTGCTAAGAAGTAAAATGAAACCAGATGGGATGATAGAAAACGGAGTTGTCACATTACTCAGTTCCTATGGGGAACCATTCCCATTACAGTCTATGTAAACAGTGCCCCCCTGGAGTTAAGCCAGCGATTCTCAACCTGTGGGTCGCAATCCCTTTGGGGGTCGAATGACCCTTTCACAGGGGTCGCCTAAGACCATCGGAAAACACATATATAATTACATATTGTTTTTGTGATTAATCACTATGCTTTAATTATGTTTAATTTGCAACAATGAAATTGGGGGTCACCACAGCATGAGAAACGGTATTAAAGGGTTGCGGCATTAGGAAGGTTGAGAACCACTGAGTTAAGCAGTGCAACAGCCCAGAGCAACAGCTCTCTGCAAACCTGATATTAGGAGTTGAGCCAGCCTTAGAGAAACCTAAAAGGAAAGATTATAAACAGGAAACAGCAAGTTTAAAGGTACTGAGGCAGGACACGTCATAGGGGTTAAGAGCATGGGCTATGGAGACATACCGATCTGGATTCAGATCCCAGCTCTAGCACTTAGGAGTACATCCAGTTGTTACTCAACCTCTCTAAACATCAGTTTCCTTATCTGTAAAATGAGAACAATAGTACCTACCCCATTTGCCTACTGTGAGGATTAAATGAAATAATGCATGTAAAATGTTTATCCTTGTGCTTGCCCCTAGTAAATAATCAATAATTGGATGTTTCTTTTCCCCCCCCCCACTAAACAGAAAATAAAAAGGCACTCTGGGGAAGTTCTGACTTGCCCCCAAACTCACACCAACCAATGTATACCCAGGACTGGAACTCAGGTCCCAGAAATATCTAGTCTGATGCTTTGTTTCAGGACGTCTTTCTGTGCCTTGGTTTTCTCTTTTTTAAATGGTATAACACTCTTACACAGCTAATATGAAGATTAATGAGTTTATATATTTAAAGGTCAATACGGTGCCTGCTACATAAGTGCTTCAAAAATTACTATTAAAAACTCTTACTATTACTGCCATACCATGCAAAATTCTGTCATTTTGTAGACCCACACTAATCCATAAGATTGCCTCTATGTATTGTTTCTACATATCTTCATCACCAACAATATACACTTTTGTTGTTTTAGTTGTGATAGACTACATATATCCGATGAAACCCAAAGCACTAATTGGAAAGAATATATGCACCCCCGAGTTCATTGCAGCATTATTTACAATATTCAAGATATGGAGGCAATCCTTATATAAAATGAAATGCTACTTGGCCACAAAAAAGAATGAACTCTTACCTTTTGTGGCAGCCAGGATGGACCTAGATGGACTTATTTTGCTAAGTGAAATAAGTCAGTGAAACAAAATACCATATAATTTCACATATATGTGGAATTTAAAAGAACAAAATAGAAACAGACTCATAGATATAGAAAACAGACTGTTAGTTGCCAGAGGAGAGAAGGGTTGAGGGCTGAGTGAAAAGGGTGAAGGGATTAAGAAGTAGAAACTGGTACTTACAGAATAGTCACAGGGATGTAAAGTACAACACAGGGGATATAGTCACTAATATTGTAATAAATATGTATGGGGCCAGGTGGGTATCTGAAACATCAAGGGGACCACTTTGTAAAGTAAATGATTCTCTAACCACTATGCTGTACACCTGAAATTAATACAGAATAATATTGAATTCAACTGTAATTGAAAGAAAAGTCATAGACTAGATACTGGAAGGGTTAGAAAAAATATATACGATCCACTCTATGTTTTATTATGTACATTAAAAGAAATCACCTATGCCAGTGATGGCGAACCTATGACACCCATGTCAGAGGTGACACGAAAACTCATTTTTTTGGTTGATTTTTCTTTGTTAAATGGCATTTAAATATATAAAATAAATATCAAAAATATAAGTCTTTGTTTTACTATGGTTGCAAATATCAAAAAATTTCTATATGTGACACGGCACCAGAGTTAAGTTAGGGTTTTTCAAAATGCTGACACGCTGAGCTCAAAAGGTTCGCCATCACTGACCTATGCTGTCACTTTTGCTATATTCCCCGGTTACTGAGGAGCAAGGAGATTCAAAGGTTGGTCAGAAATATAGCTCTGGATTTGTGGCTGTAAGTTGAGAGAGAGCAAAAATAATTTTGCATTGGATCCTTATGTTATTAGCTACCTAGCTTTTGAAACTGAAAGTTACATGTAAATAACTTACCAAACACAATCTTTAAAACTCAAGATTTCATAGGAAATAATTTCACAAAACTGCAAAATAGCATCTGTTTACTCCCTGGTCAGTCTCCCCCAGCAGTTTTACAGCCTGTTAAGAAAGCAATAAAAGTAATCAGTTGTTGTGCTTTCTCTCCCTTGGCAAACCGTAGTTCTCAGGTATACTGGAGACTTAGCCTTGATTATAAAGGCGTCTCTTTCCTGAGCACACTTTAATTGAGACATCATTCCATTTGTCTTTTGTGGGAAGCTTCCTAAGTCTAGAGGTTTAGGAGATTCATGCTGGAGTTGCGTCAGCAAAACCACCACCCTGCGCTTCTGTTAGCACAGGCAGAGAGTGGGGCACAGGCTGCTGCTTGCCTTGTGCGTCTGATAAATGCACTGAGCAAGGAGAAAGCGCTCTGTAAAGAACTTGGCCGAGGTGTCTCCTGTTCTTACATCCGGGACTTGGTGACTCTCTTCCTTTGCCTATCTCTCTGCCTATGTGACTTTCTCTCTTCGCCTCCCGGGACTCCGGATCTTGTTCTAAATGCCCTTTGCTCCCTTGGGGTTAAGTATTAAACTTGTTTCTTCCTGAAGTCTGAAATGCTTGGGTCCACAAAGGATGACTCAGAATAGCAACTTTACGAAGGTGGCTTGTGACACTTTCCCAGGTCCAATGGAGGGGGTGGGACGTGGGCTGATAGGACAGGGAGGAGGGAGGACCTTTGTTCTGTTACCCCCACTTTGAAAATGTGTATGTCCGTGTAGCCAAAATTGTGCGCTGAGCCCAGATTTTAAAGCATCTGGGCGTTTCTGCCTCTGGGAAAGGTGAAGAAGTGTGGCAAGGACCGTGTGACATGGGAATGTGGTTAGTTAATTATTAAGCAGGGAGATTGCCAGGTCTGGTGTTTATCAGCAAAAAGGGAGGGAAACAGTGCTGTGAGCCCTAAGGAAGATTGGAATCCATGAATGTCAGACCAGCCCATCTGTTAGACAAAGAGCCACTGTTT